TATACATTTTTTGGTACCCCCAATATATAAGGGATTCATACAACTCAACATCAAAAATGCAAACAATCTGATTAAACAATGTGCAGAGGACCTGAATAGATATTTCTCCAAAGGAGACACATAGATGACCAACACACATATGAAAAGGTGCTCAATGTCACTCATCATCAGGAAAATGGCAAATCGAAACCACAATGAGATATTACCTCACACCCACCAGAATGGCTATCACCAAAAAGTCAACAAATAACAAGCATTGGTGAAGATGTGGAAAAAAAGAAGGCATGGTACACTGTTGGTTAGGTTGTAAATTGGTATAGCCACTATGAAAAACAGTATGGAGATTTCTCAGTATTAGAACTACCATATGACTCAGCAATTCCACTTCTGGGTATTTATCTGAAGAAAGCAAAAACATTAATTTGAAAAGATATGCGCACCCCTATATTCATTGCAGCCTTATTTACAATAGCCCAGATATGGAAGCAACCTAGGTGTCCATCAATAGATGAATGGATAAAAAGGGTACACACACACACACACACACACACACACACACACACACAATGGAATGTTACTCAGCTATAAAAAAGAATGAAATCTTACCATTTGTGACAACATGGATGGGGCTAGAGGGTATTATGCTAAATGAAATAAGTCAGAGAAAGACAGATATTATATAATTTCTCTTATATGTGGAACCTGAAAACAAAACAAATGAATCAACCAAACCAAACCAAAGAGAAACAGGACAATAGGTACAGAGAACAAACTGAGAGTTGCTAGAAGGGAGGGTGTGGGAGGATGGGTGACTAAGAGGTACAAACTTCTAGTTATAAAATAAGTAAACAATGGGGATGTAGTGTACAGCATAGGGACTATGACAGCAACATCATAATAACTGCATAGTGACAGACTAGACTGATTGTGATCACACTGTAAGGTATATACGCGTAAATGTCAAATCACTATGCTGTACAACTGAAACTAATCTGATATTAGTTTCATATTAAACCAACTATAATGTAATGAAAAGTTTAAAAAAATATTCAGCTATGACAGATATGCAAATATGTCCAAGACATATTGGTAAATATCAAAAGCAGGTTAGGGAATAGTATAAATCTATCTATCTATCTATCTATCTATCTATCTATCTATCTATATNGCGGTCCTGCTTTCTTCTTTCACTTTCATCAGAAGCTGTTTCAAATCATTGCTACTTTTTGCCAGTAAGATGGTGTCATCAGCATATCTGAAATTATTGGTATTTCTTCCATGACCTTACCTTCCAAGGACCTTACCTTCCTGAATTTTTCTACTAATGGCAGAGAAGGAAGATACCCAAGTCAACAAGTAGATGCACCATGTGATGTCAGGTTACAGTTCATCCTATAAGATGGCTACCCTTGAGAAAATTTTTGTAACATTAGGAGAATCCAGGTTATGAAAAGAATTAAATTCTTAATTGAAGGAAGAATATCATTAAAGGAAAGTCATTTAGTAAATGAGTAGATGTGGGGACATGCTTCTATTTAGGAACTGCTTTCTGGGGGAGAGATGGAGTAAACAGGTGTAAGATCAAAGAGTCCAGCCAAGCATTGCCATTTGTCAGGTAGAGCAGGAAATACGTTGGACTCCCCTCGGGAGAGATTTGGATGAAGGGCACTCTAGTTTTAGGATTAGCAGTATGGACGGCGCACTGGTCTGGGTGTGGGCTGTCTTTCCCCTCACCACATTACTCCCATGTTGGAGAGGCTGATCTGCCTCCCTCTTCATGCCCATTGCACACGTTATCGAAGAGATGGCCTTCCCGGAGAGGAAACTGTGCCGGCCTAACAATGTCTGCCAAGCCCCATGACGCCTTCTGTGATATGCCGTTACAGTTGGGGAGGATGGTAACAGACTAGATATTGGGATGCATGAAAGATGTAGGGTGCCACTGAAAAGAAGGTACATTTGGGTAATATTCTAAGTGACAGAAAAATTTAAAGGAAACACAAGATGCTCAGGGAAATATGAGTTTGAATCTGAGCCATTTTGTGCGGTTCTGTGTCACAGTGGAATACAAGAGTAACTGTTGCTTTAATCATATTTTTGTGGAAAATTCATTAATGGCTTTTTATTAAAATTATACTGCTATTAGCCATGGAAACCATTATAGCACTTTGGGGACTTGATGAGCCTCTCTACAAGGCTGGTCTTAAAGCCGCTGTAAGAGGCAGAGAATGTAATACTACAAATCTCCTAATGCCTGTGGCATTCACCTTTGCTGTTCAAATGGAAGCATAGGTCACCTTCTGACTATGTATTTATTCTGAAAACTGGCATATGTTTTCACCTATTTGACATTAGTAATTTAGATGTAAAAGGCTTTTTCCCATAGTGCTTTGTGAGAATTGGCATAAGCATTGGCATGCATAGACGTTTAATGTTCAAAGTGTCAGCTTTTATTGTTTTAAGCCATTGGGTCCTAATGAGTTTAAAAACTAAAAATTAAGGAAACTAATACCTATGTGAACCTATGAAATAATTTATTTAATTACTTTTTTGTTCTATAAAGGATGCGTAATCTAGGCCCTTTGAAAACAATGTACTATAAAAGTTTATTCCTTATTTTGAATAATTTGCATGGCTGTAATAGGTAATTATATTGACAAACTGAGGAATAAGTTTCAGTGTGAGGAGACACCCTGCCCGTTGTGAATACATGAAATGAGGTCAAATGGCGATTAAGGCGTCATCTCTGGCTTTCATGGCTGTTTTTGCATTTTCGATATTAATGAAATGCACAACATTTAGTCAGGCTGTGGAAGAAAGATGTGCTGTAACCCCCTTCTCCCCTTTCATTCTTTCAGCGCTTCGACTCTTGAAGGAGGGGGCAGATCCCCACACTCCCGTTTCCTCAGGAGGGTCTTTGCTTCATCTGGTAAGAACTGTAATGACCAGGGCAAGTGTGGGTGACCCCTAGGAAAAGGAGAATCGCTTATGAGCCCAAAACTCAGTAGCAAAATGTACATTTGACAAGTGATCACCAAAATGATGTGTTTCAAGTTAACATGCTTGGATAAGAATGAATTAGTATTTATTAATTATTTGCATTATCGTTTATAAATAATCTTCAGCAAATGGAGTTAGAATCTCTGCCCTAAAGAAGATGCTTTTGAAAATGAATAGTATTCAACAAATAAGCAAGACGTTATTGTATCAATTACTGAGTGTTAGGCAGTCTCAGTCTCTCTTTTACATCTATAAGTTGTCTTTATCATTTCACTGAACTTGATTATACTCTGCTCATGGCCTCGCTCATATAAATGTCAATAAAACTTATCTATATTCTTTAGGAAACAGAATGAGATTAAAGTGATGAGGTAGATGAGAAACACTTCACTAACTCTCGATCCAATGCAGATATATTTCATTTTTATACTGTTAGCCATAGGTTGTGAAGCTAAGAGGAAGAGAAAGATGGAACTGAAATGCATATAAGAAAACCTAGTGACTGCTGGAGAATATGGGCTCAGTGCTGTGTCTCCTTTACCTGAGCTTACTGAGTAAATAAAAACAAATGAAAAATTGCAGGTTGCCAGAGAGACAAAATTACAGGGTTTCAAAATGACTCAGATACTGAAAAAGGCAATTTAGCCATCTAAAATGTCACATGTGAGTAGGTCGCTCTGCAGTTCATCCTACCTTTTAGGCACCCCACATTAGGAAGCCTATGCTTTATCAGCACCGAAGCGCTAATTATATACTCTTAGATGAGTGTCTTTGAGAAAGAGGCAGCGTATGTTTCTGTGGGGCATCCAGAGATAAGCTGTGGATGTTGTTATGATTTCCCAGAGTTTTGTTTATTTAACTCAATTATTATTCATTGACTACCTAACTCTAAGTGTAGATTTCCATAGGACATTTCTATTAGAAGTGCTACAATAACTTTTATGTTAGAGATTAGCAATTCCCACTTTATTACAGATAGATACTTGAGAAGCATAAGGTTTTTTTTAAAAAAGTACAGTCTTTTGGCAAATAAAATGTTTAGTTTTATCATTTTTTTAATAAATTTTCAACACATCTAAATTTGTCTGTTTACCTACAATTCATTAAGTAATTCCTGCATCGAACCTAAGGCAGGTGTCAGGTACTGTCAGAGACAGAGAGGAAATACAGACAACAAGTAACAATATCAGCACCCCAGGAGTTTAGTATCATGAGGCTAATACAGATGGAAACTCAGATTTAACTTTTTTTAAAAAGTATGATATTTATGAAGTTGAAAACAGAGTCACATAAGCTTGGCTAAAATGCTAGCCAGGCTTTTATGTCACAGCCTTTAATAAATGAGCCATTGACAAGGAAGAACTTCTGTTGTTAACAAAACCCTGTTGAATGGGGGCTGAAATGGAAATTTTTTTAATTTGGTTCTTTGACAGCAGCAGACCATAGTGAAGCTTAAGTGAAATATACTATAAATAAGAAATATCCTTTCTTTCACCTGGTGAATTCTAGTTTTCAGTGATTTAAGCAGTGGAATTCCATGCAACTATTAAAAATATTGAACTACATACAGGTAAGGGCAACAAAAGCAAAAATAAATAAATGGAACTACATCAAACTAAAGAGTTTCTGCACAGTGAAGGAAACCATTGACAAAATGAAAAGACAACCTAGTTAATGGGAAAAGTTATTTGCAATTGATGTATCCAATGAGGGGTAAATATAAAAAATACAGAGGGTACCAAAACCATGTATACACGTTTTAAGAAAGGGAAAAAACTATTAAATTATAATACTCAATATATACCAATAACAAAAGATGAATACAAGTCATGTTTGACTTCTGCAATTACAAGAGGTGCTCAAAGTGGTTACCATCAG